ATGTTGCAAATGTCACTGAAAATTTCGACCATCGCGTGGACGTCTGTAAATCCAGTCGTGGTGAACATTTGAGCGATATTATTTTTCATACATAAATAGTATAAATGAACCATCAAAATAAAGTACCCAACTTGATTTGCGCGGGGGCGCGGGGCGCGCGCGCTCCCACTAGACGTCTGACATTTGCTTTTGAAATCTAACACCATTGTGTTACTTTCTGTCACATCATGGTGACAGAGGTATAGTAACTATAAGTTATAGCTATAGGAACAGAGCATTATGATTGTTTACAGCACAACTCTTACGATTTATAATTTATAAGCATATACGAGTATTGCGACTTGACTGATTTTGTTCGGGGTTGGTGTTGCAGCGCTGCACTATGTTAGATGAATGCCTAAATTGGAAATAAACATTTATGAGATTTGATTAGCGGTACGCCTGTGGCCTGTCTAGAAACTACGTCGATCGATGCTCAAACTGAATACCACACGTCCCGCATCCCTTCTCGCGTATGTGCCTATTTATGATGCTATATTAAATTCGTTTAATTCCCAGAGCTGCTGCACTATACGTAAATATGTACAGCCTTGTATTCCTGTACTTGTTTAGTACAAACATACATTATCAAAATAATTATTACGATCTAACAGACATAGTTTTTTCCAAGGATTTCCAACATTTCTACATGCGATCAACACCAGTTCGAAAACTGAGAAAACTACTATGCCGTAAATCTAAGCTCGACAGCGAAAGTCTGAAAAATAACTGTAAAATCTATATTGAATTTAAAAAACCCCAACCCCTACTAAGCGGGGCCGTGGCAAGTGCTTGTTCCGGAAGTTGTTGCATCCAGCATACAACTTGTTCCCGTACAAGTGATTGCACACGCGTTAAGGAATACCTCAGTACCGATTGCCGGGTGGCGGTACAAGTCCGCCAACGGGCCACTTTAGGTCTATTTATTATCATTAACACGCAAAAAAAGGTGGTAGACAAGGACCAGTCTACCGAGGCGGTACCACCCAGGGTGTTTTATAAATGTTTCCCCCCTATGTTTCCGCACCTAATCTATGCAGTCAGTTATCTTCCAAAACAAAGGAATTAATGATAATGGATCCCTTGAGTACTAAGAATTCCGGATATAAGCTCACTCCACTCTCAGAATGTCCGGGTGGAGGGTGGACTCGAGGGAACAACATCGAAGATAAAAGTTGTTTTATGAACATCTGCGGGATTAACAGCAACATTGATGCTGTTCACCACTACTTGCAATCCAATCGTCCCGCAATGCTTTTCTTGGCGGAGACAAAAATCTCGAGTCCGCACCATCTTAGCTTACCAAATTACGAATTGCACTCCAATCTGAGAAAGAACGGGGGAGTCGTGGCATTTGTCTGCAGCAGTCTTTCCTGCTGCAGAGATGTTTCTCTGGAGTCAGATCGGAAGGACATTCTGTGGCTTCGCCTCAACTCCAAAACATCCCCCAAATTTATTTGCTGCCTTTATCGCTCCTCACGGACCATAACTGGGATGACCTTCTTGAATACCTCGCCATCAAGATCGACTTCCTGAACATCAATCACTCCGCTTCAAAGGTAGTTCTCCTCGGTGATTTCAATGACCATAATTTGCTTTGGTTGGGCTCAAACAAGACCGATGCAGCAAGTCGTGCAGTTAAAGCGTTCGCTCTTACTCGAGGGCTGACCCAGCTGGTGACGGGCCCTACTTTTTTTGCCCCGCATCTCGTCACATGCCAGCATCCTGCTGGATCTCTTTCTGACCATGCATCCTGTCCTTTACAGCTCTGCTGTCCTGTCTCCCCTGGGTAACTCAGACCACAGTGTTGTGGAGGTTAGGTTTCGGTCAGAACCCGCTGTTTCAGCAGAAACTCGCACAGGTCGCAAAATTTGGCATTATGGACATGCCGACTGGGAGGGGCTCAGAGACTTCTTCTCTACCTTTCCTTGGAGAAATGTCTGTTTCACTGACGCGAATGCGTCGGCTGTCTGTTCTTCGATAACCGAAACTATTCACATCGGAATGGAGGAATACATGCCTCATACTGCTGATATAATAGGAGTGCTTTATTGTGTTAGTATTTGCACCATTTACTTGATTTGTTTAATGGGCAGTTCAGAGTCTTATTCCTTAAGCTTACTACATACTAGTAGACCCCGTTGCGCAATTTGTCTATAGGCAGACTGGAGACGGTCTCAAGACACGATCTATGGATGGTCTACAGATATCCTTCTTTCTCTTGTCTAGCGTCCATACGATAATGTAAATTTTTTGGTCTCATGTTCTTTTTCGCAATCAAAGACATTGTTTTGTGTGGAATGGACTGGGATATGTCGCGTGGTCCCTCACAATGCTTTATTTATTTTTTGTCGGTTAACAGAGCATTAAAGTTTTTTATGTTTGAATCTTTAACATTATTACACTAGTTAATTATAAGTGCCACGTACTTATTTTGTTCTCGTATAATAAAATATTGGCTTTCTGAAGATTTCTGAGCAATTTCGATGTTTTTTTTTCAAGCTGGCCTTGACCAGATTGAACACAATGGATTTAAGGAGCAATAATAGGATAAATTCTAGAAGTTCCACTGAAGTTAAAAAATGATCAGCCCCAAATATCGTTTGCGCCCGCCCCTGGATGAAATCCTGAATCCGCCCTTGGTTGAGTGTACCATTTACCATCACCGATGCTGTGACTGATTATACACTGAAATCAAAACAAAAAACTGCAACTGCAATTGTATGTATGAATGTTGGAAATCTTGGAATGTTTTGGAGCAGTGGTGTCAAAATGTCGTTGGGGAACTGGAAAAAAGTGTATGAATGTGTTGAAACGCGAAATTAATGTAGGATAAACTATAAACACACGGTAGGTGAGGTTAAATTAGTATAATCGCATATGGATTACAAACATTAAGATAAACATGGATAAGCCTTCAGCTAAGTTGAAAAAAATTGGATTTTACTCAGACATCAAGCAATTTTTTAAAAGGTTAACTCAATTTTACATAATTTGATAATATTTAATAAACCGACAACATTTCAATGACATGCTATCACTTCACATTTTTATATTGTTTATATTTTATTGATATTTATTGATGTTTATATTGTATTTGCTGCAAAAAATTTGCCGGAGAGATCATAAGGTCCATTGGCTATATTTGACGGTCTGTCTGATACTGCTACCCTATTGCAAAATAACGCTTTGTTAGATTGAGTCTTTCTGAAATCCACCCTAAAAATAACTGTTTAGGAAAAAATTTCCTACGTAGCTGTGCTAATGAGCCACCTTTTTGCGTTTGATAAAAAATTAGGTAACGCCATAGATAAACTAATGGAAAAATCCACCGTTTTATCGTATTCATGGCACACTGGATTAAAAGTTACAAACATTTCGAAGGTATGCAGCGCCATTGTACTCGGAATGTCATTTTCTATTTAAAACCAAAGTATACCGAGTGTCCCATTTAAAATATTAAAGTCAGTTCCGGCTAAACCGGACGTAAGAGTGAGCAATTGGATACGTCAAACAGTGTATATTTATGTGGCATACCTAGATACCAAATTTCGTTTTTGTATCTTTGAAAATAAAAAAATTATTGCGGTCAGCCACCTGCTAGGGACACCCGTTATATATATATATATATATATATATATATATCAATATGCAATGATTAATTTTATAGCTTACCTACCTTCATCAAGGGAATAGCTTGGTTGTGAGCTTTTGGGCTTTTAGATATAAATACACATCCGTTCACATTGAATTGTTTATTTTCATACCATTAATACCAGATATAGGATTTTCCTAACCCAAAAATTTCTTGAAGATACTACAACTTGTGGAATTTTTTCAATATACGGAATTATCATTGACTGTTCGACATTATTTGCAAGAAAATATGCTTCTGCATTTGATTCATTTGTCTAAAGTTTCTTAAACGTCATAAAACATAACCTAACATCAAAATTGGACAACGCGAGCCTTACTGAAGGATATAAGCTATTACGGTAACCAATGAGGCCATAAAGGCGTCCTACAATCGTAATAACTACTGACGATACGGCCCTAATGTTGATTCCAATTAGGTAACTTTTTATTCATTTTGCACACACTTATTTTCAACAACCCTAAATTATTATATATCGGAACGCTAGGAATTTAAAGAGAAATAAGTCAATGCGGTAACTGCTGTAAACCTATTTCACGAGTATCCATCACGGTACAATGACAGCTGGTTATCAGAGGTGCTTTCCAATGTTTTTGAATTGAGAGTTGAATGCACCGGCACGGGTATTACTTATTGTAGCGTTTTTCTGGGTTCTTTTGGTTGTGAATTAAAGCACTCGATTCCACAAACAGACATACACTAATTTATTTAAAACACATCACAACTAACTTTATCTCAACTAGATAGAACATTTATGTACACCACTATTTATGTCTGACAACTTATTTACGAATTATTATGTCGCGTCATTCACTCAGCTCTGCTTCCCTGTCCCTGCCCTCGGCTTATATAATCCGCATCGCAGGTACTCGTTAATTCGAGAAAGTTCCGGTACGCCAGATAGCGGCCACTCCAGAACCTTCGGGGTCAGTCTCGCACCTCGCGTCGATGCCGAAGAGGAGTCCCTGACGCGATTACCAACAGATTGGTCTAGTAGTACCATTCATTCTTATTAAACTGCCCCCTCCCTAAAGTCATTCCCTCCCGGAATGATCTTACTGGTGGTGGATATCGATATCGGCACGAATGCCCTTTCTTGCAGAAGTAGTTCTTGAAGAAGTAGCAATCCACACTCCTTCGAGAAGGTAGCCGTCTAGGACTGTGACAACATACCAGAAAACGAATGCCTGTATACCGGAAGACTACCACAAGCATGCTTCGGATGATTCTATAGTCCAAGTTGTAAAGTCCACATGCCAGGTTAGGTATTGCCAATTTCCTCAGGTCCTCGGCAAGCAAAACTTCTCTAACACAAAGCGCTCCAGACATCCTCGTAATTCGGTTTCTGATACGAAGCTTTCTTCGTAACCAGATATAAGATCTTTCGGCTGATACTATCTTCAGTTATCTGGAGCACTTCTCCGACTTCGGGGTTAGACCGACGCAGCTCTTGCATTCCTCCGAGCTTCCTGAGAAAGACCTTTGCTATACCAATCGACACTTGCAAGTCTTCAGCCACACAGTGTGCCAGGGGATACTCTGGTGAAGTGGTAAAGAGATCTTGCTGTACTTCGCATGTCAGGCCATACCGACCATGGCCATGGTAGGTCATAAATTGGTCAAATGTCATGTCCGGTTCTGGCTGGATTTGCCGCACCACCGCATCTTCGTTGTTTCCATGGTAAGGGGCAAGTCGGTTGAAATGTACAATTCAGGCTTTACCGCGTGGTGCCTTCTGAATCCTGTAGAGAACATCATTGATGGCATCCAGAACTTTACATGGCCCATCCCAGGATGATTGAAGCTTAGCCGACAGCCCTTTTCGCCTCTTTGGGTCGTAAAGCCAAACCATATTACCGTTGTCATACCTCTGGTCTTTGCCATTAACGTCATAAACTCCCTTCATCCGGTCGCTGGCACCTTGAACTGAAACACGAACTTGGCTATGGATGGGGTCCATTCTTCTACGCAGATCACTTACGTAGTCTTCTCCGGCAATATCAGTTCTTGGTGGACAGCCCAACTTTAGATCGCATGGAAGACGAAGTTCTCTTCCCATAACTATTCGAGCCAGGGTCTCTCCTGTGCTTTCATGAATCGCCGATCGGTAAGCCAATAAGAAGAGGTGAAGGAAACTATCCCAGTATCTTTGATAGCTAGAGACTACCTTAGCCAAATATCGGTTAATGGTCCGATTCATGCGCTCCACCATTCCATCTGAGTGCGGGTCTAAGGCAGTGGTCCTGGCCTTCTTAATCCCAAGGATTTGACAGATATTTTGGAACAGATTTGACTCCAAATTACGCCCTTGGTCCTAATGGAACTCTAAAGGTACACCAAATCGACAGATCCATTCCTTTACTAAAGTATCGGCTACCGTAGAGGCTTCCTGATTTGGCAGAGCGTATGTCTCAACCCACTTGCTGAAGTAATCTATTACCACAATGATGCATTTATTCCCAGCTTCACCTGCTGGAAAGGGTCCCGCCACATCAGGGCCAGTCGTTTCAAAGGGGCTCCCGACGTTGTATTGGCGCGTCGAAGCTTTTGGTTTCCTTCGCAGTGCATTACTTGCCGCACACACAACGCATTTTCTGCACCCGTATTTCAAGTCCGCCTTGCTATCGACCCAGTAAAATCTTTCCCTCACTTATTCCAGGGTTTTACAACTCCGAGATGACCTCCTGACACACCGGAATGTATTTCCTCTAGCAGCTCCGGGATCCGAAATCAATATGATTTTATGGTAGGGGAATACTTGGCAACTTCTTCCCAGGCCTGTTTTCGTTGTTCTTTCATCCAGTTCAGAATTATTTGGAGATCGGGGTCGCCCTCTTGGTCTTAAATGACGTCTTCATTTTGCCAAATATAATTAACGATAGTGATTCTTAATACTTGGGCGTCTTTCTCCTCTGCCCGCTGGTAATGCTTACAATCATCTACACAGGGTCTCCTCGATAAGGCATCTGAATTTCCATGGATTTTTACCGCTCGATGTTCGATGTCGAAGTCAAACTCTTGCAGCCTCCCTATGCATCTTGTAACTTGACCCTCTGGATTCTTAAGCTGGGGAAGCCATTTTAAAGCTTCGTGATCGGTCCGGAGTAACAGTTTTCTGTCATAGAGGTATTTGTAGAAACGTTCCATTGACTTCACGACGGCCAGCAACTCTCTCCGGGTAACGCAATAGTTACGCTCTGGTTTGGACAGGGTTTTGCTAAAATAACCAATGATCTCATCTTCTTTGCTTTCCTGGACTTGGTACAATACAGCACCTATGCCCACATTGCTAGGTATCAGTATCTAATACAAACTTTCCTTCTGGCAGTGGATAGCTGAGTATAGGGACGCCTGTTAAAGCTTATTTCAAGTGGGTAAAAGCTTGCTGGCAATCCTGACCACATTGTTATTTGCGTTGCCCTTCTGCCAGCCTGGTCAATGGCTTTGGGATGTTATCAAATCCTTCCACGTAACGTCGGTAATATGTACACAATCCTAGGAAGCTGCGTAGCTCACGTTTGTCCTTCGGAACTGGTCATTCTTCTACAGTTGGGTTTTCTCCTTGTCAACTACAACTCCCTGACTGGAAACCACATGGCCAAGATACTGCACAGGTTCTTCATCTGGCCCCCAAATGATTTTCACATCACAATAATGTCATCAATGTAAATCAGGAACGTTTTCCATGATAGTCCTCTTAGAATCGTGTCCATCAGCATTTAAAAGGTGGCAGTAGCATTGCACAGGCCGAATGGCATCACATTAAACTGTCACAATCTAGTGCCCACTATGAATGCTGTCTTCTCCCGATCTCCAGGGGCCAATTCTACTAGCCAGTATTCGCTTTTTAGATATAGGGTAGAAAATATTTTTGATCCAGCCAGGGTATCCAGAGTGTCATCAATACGCGGTAGAGGGTAGCTGTTCTTCTACGTCACGTTGTTTAACATTCGGTAGTCCACACAAAATCTGGTTGAACCATCTTTCTTTTTAACCGAAGCTACCGGTGACGCCCATGGACAGTTCAATGATTCCCTCATTGATCATGGTGTCTATGATCTTTTCAGCCTCCTCTCTTTTAGCAAGTGGGAGCCTTCTTGCCATCTGCCGGACGAGACGGGCATTTTCCGTATTGATCCGGTGCTGGACTATATTGGTTCTCCTTTTTCTTCAGTATCGAATTCATCCCGAGATCTATGTATTAGGTGTTTCAGTTTCTTTCTTTGGTCTGGTCTTAGATCTCTGCCTGCTCACGATATTGATTCTTCCAGTTCGCTAGGAATGTCTCCTGAGTTTTCCACAGCTGGCATATTTCGAATTATTGCAGAAACTGGACAGTAGTGTCCTAGCCCCGAGCCCCTCTTCAATGACACAGGGTATTGGCTGACATTCATTAGTCTCACAGTAATATCTTTATCGGCACGCACAAGGGCCTTTGTAACTGATATCCCTCGGCCAATAGCCTCGTCACGCATCCTAGGTTCAAACATGACTTTTTCTCCGTCTGTAGTCTGGCCATCTACCGAGACATCCAATACAGCTTCTGTTCGTTCTGGGACCACGGTGTCTTCAGGCAATAGAACTCGTACGTTTCCATTTCTTCTCCGGTGTAAAATGACCTCATTTTTGACTTAAGATTCCTTCCTTAAAGTTCAACTCGATGCCCTTTGTGTCCATGATGTCCATTCCGGTGATTACCTCGTCCTCAATATCAGCTACTATCGCCGGACGTTCGAGTGTAGCTTTTCCTATTCCAAATGCGATGTTTACTTCGCCGTATACGTTTGCCCGGTCTCCCGTCGCCGTTCGTAGTCGGCATTTGGATGGTCGAATCTTCGCCGATTCTTTCATCATGTCGGGCCTTATGATAGCCTTTTTCGCACCTGTATCCAGCAGTACGGTGTGGAGTGTCTCATCCACAAAAGCATCGACAAAAACACTATTATACTGATGTTTAAGCAAGGTGACTTGGGCGGTATTAACCAGGCTCGGGCTGGGGCTTGTTGGCTACAGGTCGACGATAGCCGCTTCACATCGACCTACCTTAGTTTTCCGGAGTCTTCGAACTCGTTATCACCTGGTACCATCTGGTGGACTCGGACCTGGCTTTTATTTGTGTTTTTATTTGCTTCGAATTCTAATGCCCTAGTTAGCGCATCTACTAGCTTAGGTGGATGTGCTAGTAGTAAAGCTTGCCTCATTTCACCATCACGAAGTCCATCAAGGAATGCTTGTACTGCCAATCGCTCCATTATCCTTTCCTGGATATCGGGATATGCCAATCGTACGAACCGCGCAATATCCGCTTAAAACTGCTGCAAGGTACTCACCTGACTTCTGGAACCAATTCTTCAGTTGAGTATGGTAGAAGTGTGACCTCTTGCTCTTCGGGTGATATTCTTTGAAGAAGAGCTGCAGCATCTGTTTGCAGCGCCAAAGTGAGTGCAGTTGCCTTTTCGGTCGATGACCAACCATTTGTATTCACGGCTGCCTCAAACTGATGCCGTTAGACATTCCAAGGCGTTGTACCATCAAATTGCGGCGGTTTCATTCGCAGATGACCAGCTTACCCAACAGAAGCTCCAACCTCACTTGATTTTTCCAACGCAAGTCCACGCTGTCGTTCGTCGATGGTCTTGACATCTAAAGCGGCAAACTTGCCTAGCACTTCTTGGATTCTGTCCTCCAAAGTTTCTAAAATCCGTTTTTCCAGCTCCCAAGATTTTTCCATAATCTTATCTGCCAATTCATTTATTATATTCACAGTATGTATTTGCAAGAACCTCTCTCCTAATTTGGCTGTACTTTCGTATAACTCTAAGAGCATTCCTTCTAGGTTGGCACAATTTTCCACGAGCTTGTTTTCTAACTTGGTCGAAAGTTTTTGCAGCATTAAGCCAATATCCAATGCACCGGTAAAAATGAAAATATCCGGGTCCTCGCCTTCCTCAATCAGTACTTTGCGAAGCCGCTCCTGTAATTCCGCTTTCTTTCTAGCCGTGCCGCCAGGGTTGAAAAAAAAAACATTTTTTTCCAAAAACTTCTCTTTTAATTTGGCAGTACAATCGTGTAACTCCAAGAGTTTTCCTTTTAGATTGGCACCATTTTCCACGAGCCTATTTTCTAACTTGGCTGAGTTTTCTAAAACATCGGCACAATTTTCCACGAGCTTGATCTCTAACTTGGTCGAAAGGTTTTGCAGCATTAAGCCAATATCGCCTGCACCGGTAAATATGAAAATATCCGGGTCCTCGCATTCCTCAATCAGTGCTTTACGAAGTCGCTCCTGTAATTTCGCTTTCTTTCCAGCCGTGTCGCACTCCCTTTCCTCCAGCTCTCTTTTTAAATGGGCAATTTTCAAATGAACCAATCGCGCCATTCTTCCTTCACTGACCGTCCGATTTATTCTCACTGATTGTCCAATAATCTACACCCGACACCTGAAACCGATGTAGCATTTTTCTGGGTTCTTTTGAGTGTGAATTAAAACACTCGATTCCGCAAACAGAAATGCACTATTTTATTTAAAACACAACATAACTAACTTTAACTTAACTAGATATAATTATGTACACCACCATTTATGTCTGACTACTTATTTACGAATTATTATGTCGCGCCATTCACTCATTTTTTTGATATTATTTAGGTTTTTCGACAAGATGTTAACTTAGCACTAGCTGATCAACACTTGTCGTGAACTCGTTTGTAGTTGTACGTGTTTCATAAACAGCATGATGTTTCAGCTATCAATGTTTGGCTCTGATGTGATGTAAAATCTGCTTCAGAGATGGTATTACTTGAGGTCTAAGCTGAGGCTTAGTGAGGATTTGTGTACTAATAATGAGTGTTGATGGTAATTCCATTAGATTCTTGTCTCGAATATACTTACTTGAGATTCAAGGCTAGAAATTACTTGCATATCCAGTTTTGCTAATGCATTCTGGCAATTACATATGCAAATTTTCTGGATTTCAAAAATAAAAATAATTATATTCACTGTACACTGTCGAATTACAACAATCATAATTGCTAACAGTAATTATATACACACAACGGGGACACTGTGGAGATTTTTAGTAATTCTTCTGAGGTTATGAAAACATAAAAGAAAAAAAAACGGAAAAAATCGTAATGTATAACTTTGAACATAACCACTCTTCAGGAAGAACAACACAAATAACCCGTCTGGCACAGTTAATGGATATATGTACTTCATTGGCAGCATAGTCAGTCATAACTTTCTCACATAGCAAATATCACAGATTTATACACACCAAACTTTTGTTCATGATGAAATAGATCATGACAAAACAATGCTAATGGCGATTGAGGGAGCTAGAGAGTATAATGTAAAGTTCAATATAAAGAAGCTGCAACACAAGCTTAAAGAGGTCGAGTTCTTAGGCCATAATATATCTATGGCAGGTATAAAACTTAAAAACAAACACATAGAAGCAGTCCAAGCAATTTCAATACCTGAAAAGATGTGTATATTAGGTCTATTCAAGTTGTTTCTAAATATATACCAAATTTGTCACAACTAACACATAACATGAGACTACTATCAAAGTATAATGAAAAATTTACTTGGACAAAGAACATCAAGATGAACTTGATCGCTTAAAGATTTGAATTACTAATAAGCCAGTTCTCCAAATCTATGAAGAAAATAAAGAAATTCAGACAGACAGTTCTAGTAAGAGTTTAGGATGTGTACTGCTACAAGAAACACACCTTGTTGCATTTATATATCTTTAATAAAACATTAATAAAAAGTACAATCGAGTATAAAACAGTAACGTCTTAGGGAACACCTTAATAATTTGCCATTTACTTTCCATTTCAACTACTATCAGAGATGGAATGGGATAATTATTTTTCTGTCCGCTGACTTAACAAAAATATTACACATAATATAAAAATATATAATTCAAAAACGCGTCAAAATAACGTACTACAGCATGCGCATAATGACGGCCTACAGCGCGCGTATACAATTGGACATTCAGTAATGTCATTATGACGTCTATATTTCGAATAATCACGAAATTTCGACGACATTATGACCTGCTTGTATGTATGCTGGATAGTGACGTATGCCTCGTACGCCATACTTGTCATAATACTTTTGTGTGTTATTTTGAAGAAAGTAATAGAGTTTCGGTATAGAATCAGAAACAACCAATCAAAATAAATGCTAATAATCCAGTCTACACTTCAAGTCAGCTGCGAATTAAATAAGTTTAGTCAGTATTTGGTGTAAAAAGTTTTGACTTTTTGACCTATCAAAAATGGCTGTACGCCTGAAGGCATGTCTACATGCAAAACTGCGCTAAAAAGTGCTGAATTTACATAAAAAAAGAAAAATTATGGACATTTGAGATGTAATACATACATTCATAAAATTAGAACAGAGGTTTGAACTAAAACACATCCACTTATGGTGCATTAACGCATTGAAAATAGTAAAAAACACAATAATAACCATCAGCAACATTCACATGCTAGAATATTCACTTAGCGAGTAAAAACATGTCTACTAGTTATTTTATTGGATGTTTTTTCCAGGCTAAAGGTATTCGTACCTCTTCGGAACTCTACTGGCAGATTGCTGTACATTTTTATGAAACAGAGCAACAAAAATTTTTCACAAAAGGCGGTGTTATGCAATAGTATATTTAAATCGAATTCGGTTCTGGTGTTACACTGGTGGTCTATTTCATTCTCTGTGTATGCCGAGTTCACTTGGAAAGCTACTGAACGACCGATAAAAGGTAGTCTGAGAAAATACGTCGAGAAAAAGAACGGGCTGTCTCCCTCGCAATATATGACTTAAGAAAGCGAAAGTTTGCCATAAATTCACTTAGGGTCGATTTCACCAAGGTTGTCAAATCGACAGTCCATTATTCTCCACCTGTAGGGTAACACTCCGTCAAATACAAAGAATGAGCTTCAAGTTCCAATCAACAAATTTTAGCAACCAATAGCTATGAAATGTTGAAAACAAAATACTGTCACAGTATGAGATGACAGCTTGTCATTGAAAAATCACCAGCTCATTGAATGTTAAGAAATTAAACATAATTCAGTCAAAATTTAAAGAAATGTTTGATTTTTGAATTAAATTCATGTTTTAATTACTATTGTTACTTTTTTATTCATGTTTATATTATTTTCTTCAATTGATATGCGATTTCACTGATTCAACTGGGTGTTTTGTCCCCCAAACCTCTTGCAGACAGCCATTAAGCACCTACTTGATGACAGGCTCTACTAAAAGATATTGCTCGTTTCCAAACATTCATTCATTTACTTGCCGTTCATCAGAACCATTATGACACCTTAGATTGATATTCCCACAAAACCATTCAGGTTTTTTGATATCCATACATCCATAAAGTTGAATATTTTTCATTGTTCAGGAACTGAACAAACATCCACACTATGTTCACAGCGATTAAGAGGTTCCCAAATATATGCCTTAAAGCTACCAGCAAACCTAAAACCTGCAAAAAAACTACAAATTTGTCATATTTTTCTTTTTTCACGAGTACACATTCTAGGTTATATTTATATTAGACAGCTGATTATTGCATATCAAGACGCATCGAGTGACACATGAGTTATAAGATCAATGCCTCGAGATCGCTTTTTAAACAGTTTATTTTCGAAAATATAAAAACTCAAAAATGTACTTTTACAAAATTATTACAATGTTATCATGATGTTAACAGTACAAAGGCTTAAATCTGACTGACTGTAAAATGTGTTGAGAACAATAAAGTAAACTCTAGGTCTTCTAGGAAATTAGTAGCATCGTCGGCAGTATTCCTGGCATATCAGCAGGAACGGCTGATATAACTCCTCCCCCCTGAGATTCAACTTCGAGGAAGAATTCTTCACGGAAGTTGAATAGGATGAACTTCGTCTTCTGGTTGCTGAATACTTCTATTTCTGAGCTTCCTCCGCTTCAAGATGGTTTTCCAGAATGCGTAATTTCAGTACAAATGTCACCGAAAAGAGCATTCATTTTATGCCAAATAAGGCTCTTTTGGGGTGATAGTCTTAAATTGACCTTCAAAATATATCGGGATTGGAAAGAGATGATATAAATTAAATGACTCAGAGTATGAGATTGGGAGTGATAAAACGAATGTAATTTTGTTGCCCACAGAATAACTGGAGATTTTGATTATTTTTTCAAAAGTTGGTATGTTATCTAGTAAAACTGGAATCGCAAATTTTTCTTGGCCTAATCTTGAGCTCAATAGTTTCAGTTCTCCAAAAATTTTCTCGGTTGTAATAATGCTAGAGTGAATTGTTCCAAGACGTGCAAAAATTATTGCATTTTCAACATCTTGCAATATTGACAGAGTTACATCGTAGCTGTTCATAATTTGAGATACTGTGTCTACCATTTATTTATGCTGATCTGAATTGATTGCAGTACGATGAACAATTGCATATATGGT